ACACCACCTAGAGCATTTTGCCCATCTTTAGTCTTCCCATCCCCACCCCAAACTGCAAGTACATGTAATCTCTAATGTGCATCTTTACTACAGGAGGCTATCAGCCCCATGGTTACTCACAAGGTTCTCACACTTGCAAATGTTGGATACGCTGCCTTGTAGCACTTCATGTATACTGCCAGTGAGAATGTACCTGGCATTATTTTTACTCTGACGGCAACACAGATGCTCCCTGATTGTGGCACACTGTGGTTTAGGGCCAAACTACATGTTGCATTTGACACAACTGCCAGATGTAAGACCGCACTTGCCAAGCATATAGGACCCTAATTTGGATTGGTACTATGGTACATGGGGAAAAGGGGCTCCTGGCCCGCCCCCCAAGCTGCTTTCCTTACCCGTTTGGCCAACTGGCCATGTGTTCCTGATAAACACATGTGCAGTCATTCATGAAGTGAATATCCCCTGGGGCTATTTTGTGTTGGGAAAACGGGGGTGGGAGAATAGAGCTTTCTCCTAACTTCTCATGAGTTTGGCCCTTAGAGCATGTCAGTCCAACGGTGTTGGGCCTAGTGGTCGATCAGTCTTTCCTTTGTGGAAGTGGACTGAATGAGATGTCCTTTTGGGCATTTCTAGCAACACAACCACAGCTATGAAGAAGGGGGCAATGGGCTGGATTGAAAGTGCCAAGGAGGGGGAAGAGCATTACTTACTGGGAGATAACAGTGTCTCCAAGATCCATTCACAGACTTGAAAAATCTTCTGGGCTCTCCAAAGATATTAAGCAACAAAAATATTTTCTCTTTTTAAAAAAAGCAAATAAATTTGGGGGAAAATGAAACCCGCACAAGGGCGGGGAGGGGGGAGATGAGGAGGGAAATGCTGAGTCTTCAGTCTTCATCACTGAGTATTCATTTGAGTTCACAGATTAGACGGTTTTCTCTCCCCCCCTGATAAAAAGAAACAAAAAACAATGTCCCCTTCCCCGAGGCTGTCCCTATTGGTTGCCGGTTGTCTTCCAGGTGTGCGTCCTGTACACATGCTGTGGGTGGGGGTGGGGGTGGGTTAGAGCAACTCACGTGCTCTCACGCTCTGCCCGGGTGGTGTCCATTCCTGTTCGATTGTCTTTCTGCTGGACTGTGGGGGTGGGAAGAGGGTTCACGACACGGTCTGGTTCTAAAAAAAAAATCACCTCCATGCCATTCTCAAAGAAAGCGAGTTTTAATTTTTTTTAATATATTTTCCTTTATTTTTTAAAAAAGGTCATTTATCTCCCTCTCCTTTCCCCCTCTTTTCCTTTTTATAGAAAAAAAAAACAAAAGAACAAACAAACAAAAAAGATCAGGGTTTTTTTTTTTTTTTGATTTCCATTAAATACAGAACTTGAAAAGTGTTCCAGAAAAAGTGCTGGCTAAAGTAGCTCTGAAAGAGAGAAACACAGACAGAGAGAACAAGACAAGACATATACATCAATGCATTCTGTTGAAGCATTTTGTTAGAACATTTATTCTGGATGGAGCTAAAATGACTGCTGATAACCTTTTTGTCAAGATTATCCTCTTATAAGTATCTGCTGTTTCAGTGACCCCTTAAAAGCACCCCCAGCTTCCCTTTATTTACAACCGAGATGATGAACTGGCAACCCACGTGGCCCCCCCTTCCAGGCAATTTCATCTGTTCCCAGCGTCGCCGGCATCCTTATTTAATTGAAATCATGTTAGAAGCGTTGCCCACAATTTCACTCACAAGGGAACACAGTTCGTATCTGTCCTTGTCAAGGAACACATCCTGTCCCAATACATCCTCTTCCATTTTAAGACCGTGGTATTCCTATCATTTGACTGGAACTCCACTGGACAATATGGCAAAGACTGATGCATCCCTCTTTCTCTAGCAAGACAGAAATGATGTGGTTACTTTTCTGTAGTGGAGTGTGTTTGCTCCACTACACAAAAGTGACATCACATTGTGAGTTACCCCGCCCTGGAAGTGGCAGCCAATGAAGTGGAATGTGGGTGGGGCACCTCACAAAAGAATAACCACATCATCCTTGACATTACATTATTTCATCATATGCAGGGCTTTTTTTGTAGAAAAAGCCCAGCAGGAACGCGTTAGCATATTAGACCACACTCAACAACAGAAACTCATTAGTATATTAGGCCACACCCCTGACAGGACAACTAATTAGCATATTAGGCCACACCCCCATGCCTGCCCTTGGGGGGTTTCACTCTCCAGGCCTTCCCTCTGTAGCCACCCACGCAGAGGTTTTGGCTGTAGTGGGCGTGGCCAACTCTGAAGCCAGCCAGAACTCCATTCCTGTGCGTTCCTACTCAAAAACAGCCCTGGATACGACATCCAGTTCCAGCCTTGGTGTGTTTTGCAGCTAATGTCCAAGCCAGATCTGGGGCTCATTCTGGTGATAAAATCTGTGTCTTGCCTGCACTCTTTTTGGTCTGCAAATGGGAGGCTTCAGTGTGACTGAACATATTTCTGCACACAAAATTCCCCCTGTGCATAAAACTAGTATGCTAGATGCAGGAGTTTTCTGTGTGTAGGGAATTCTTTTTCTATGGAGGAACAGTCAATCACTTGAGTTCCCACCAGCAGTCTATAAAAGGACAGCCCAGACACAGGTTTAGCACCTTTGAGAGACCCAAGCCAGAGACTTGATTGCTGAGCTTGCAAAAAAAGCTGTGGACCATCTCCCAGAGAACAGAGTGCTGCCCCCCCCCCCAATATAGCAGTTGGTCACTGACATTTTAATGGATGGGAAACTTTATCTGAAATTCACATGCAGTGTCTCTCTACTCACTTGTAGTCTTATAATTCAAGGGGGAAATAAGGCCAAGCAAAACATTAAAAGGAAAGGGGACATTCAGAGCTCACATTTTCACCCTGCAGCATTTAGCAGACACTGACAAGTAAATGTGATGCTTCCCACTGCCAGCTCAGTGGACAACATAAGCCCCAGAAAATTATCTGTACAACCGCTGGCATGAACCAATTTTTATCGTAATCACCAATTTCAGTTCTCCAAAATCTCAGAGGGGGTGGATAGACCCACCCAAATATAGATTAACAACTAGCTTTCCTTCCACATGTGTAAATATGTTTCATTCCTACTTGTACATGGATACACATGTCTGCAATTTAACCTTAACATGTAAATCCAGTCAGATTGGGGGGGGGGGATCCCCTCATGCCACTGTGTGTGTATCTTGAATGCAACAGAAACATAGTACACCAGGACTCCTCAGCCCTGTTGACTCTGTGGGCCTTTTTGGAATCTAAAAAACTGGTAGCAGATGCCACCCCCAAATGGCTGCCATTGTGAGAGGTATCGCCAACCACAAAATGGCTGCCATGGGGACTGTGGCAAATAGAAAAATGTTGGCTGCTGTTTCTGAATGGGGGGGTTCCCTGCAGGCCCAAAGATGATGCCTCCGTGGTTCTTCTAAAGTGCCTCCTGCTCCAAAGAGGTGGGGGAAAGCCAGGATTAGCTCTTAGCTTTCAGGAAGAAAGTGGGCACCAGGAATCACGCTGGTGGGTGCTGTAGTGTTAATGGACACAACATAAGGGATAATTGCACTATGTTATCTTCTAGAGTCTTTCACTGGTTTCTTTGTTCTGGGAATAACCTATGCAGTCTGAAATGGCTTGTATCTCACGTATTTATGAAAATGCTTCTTTCTCTAAGACTGACCCAAATTGCTCTGGTAACAATATGATCTGTGCACGCTCAAAGAGTATTCCCAAGGTTCACTAAAGCTCTAGCATATTTCAGTATCAGTAAAAGAATGAGCATGCAGCCAATGGCTAGGGTTAGTAGTTTTTTCCTTATCTACTGGCTTTTATTTCCCTCAGTTGGACGTTTGCTTCACAAGGTAATGCAAAAGACAGGTCCCTGGATTCCCACTTGGTTACAGCTGTGTCCTTTGTGTTAGAGACTCTGTGTGTCTGAAAATAAGGCAGAGCCAGTGTGGTGTAGTGGTTAGACTGTCAGACCAGGACCTTGGAGAACCAGGTTCAGATCCCTATTTGGCCACTGACGCTCCCTGGGTCATCTTGAGCCACTCGTTCTATCACATCTTAACATACCTCAAAGGGTGACTGGTGTGAGGATAAGAAGAATGATGCTGTGAGCAACTTTGGGTCCCCACTGGGGAGGAAAGCAGGGCATTAACAGATAAAGAATTGATGTACCCAGTAAGCTCTCTCTATCATGGTTCACTCGTCTTCAACATTCAAGCACCCTTCAGATATTACCATTGCTACTCACCAGGACTCATTCACATGTTACAGAGAGAACACAGCAATGGTGCTGGGGCAGTGTGCTATTAGTACAGTTGGGGAGACCCATGTGTGTACTTGGGAGGTTTCCCCAAGAGACCACACAGCTCTCCCTGGGATCGTTTAGGCAGAAGACCCTTCTCCACACAAGCCAGACTCACGATCTGAATTGGGCACCCAAGGCACAGGAACGTAGGCTATTATCCCACAACTCATGTGTAACTCTTACATAGCACGGGGACCCCAGACCTAACCTGTGTTCTCCATAACGTGTGGCCTCTGCGAGACTCTGCATTCACAGTGAAATTTATACGCCCACATATATAAACACCCACTAT